AACAGTGGTAGAGCGCTTGCCTTGCATGCCTGAGGCCCTGGGTTCGATTCCTCAGCACCACATAAGCAAAAAGAAAAAAAGCTGGAAGTGGCACTGTGGCTCAAGTGGTAGAGCATTAGCCTTGAGCTGAAGAGCTGAGGGACAGCGCCCAGGCCTAGAGTTCAGGCCCCACGACTGGACCCCCAAAAAAACCAAAAAACAAAACAAAATCAGAGGCAGTGCTAGGCCCTGAATTCAAGCCACAAGGTGACAAAAACCAAACCAAACCAAAAACAAAACAAAAAAAAAACAAACAAAAACCCACAACAACTAATAAGCTGTAAGTGGAAGTGTAACTCAAGTGGTAGAGCATTAGCCTTGCGTGAAAAAGCTAGTAAGTAAGAGCTGGAGGGTCTTCAAGCCCCAGTCCTGACACGAGAGGGAGAGAGAGAAAGAGAGGTGAACATAAACAGTAGCTATGGTACGGAAAAAGTAAATGGGTTTGCAAAGCAAGGAACAAGTGTGATCCACCTTAACAACAGTAAAGTTAAGGCCTCTGGCAGCACTTGGCCTATCAGGCCATGCTGACAGAAAGCAGCTGACCAAATGCTTCTCAGTATCAAAAAACAGCTCAGTACTGACCATCTGTGGAGCTGCAGGAGCCTGGCCGAAGCCCGACCACAGGATCTGGATGGAAACTCAGAGCTGGAAAAGGTTCCAGAGAAGACAGTGATGACTAAGGTCCCTATCATGTGGGGAATCTAGAGGCTTCTAAGAATGAAGCAAACTGAACTGAGTCAACTCCTGGAGAGGATAAAGCTTGAAGAAGTTATGGGAACAATGTGTTTTTTGAAAATTCTTTGTTTTTGTTTAGTATTTTGTTGGTCCTGAGGCTTGAACTCTGGGCCTGGGTACTGTCCTCAAGCTCCTTTTGTTCAAGGTCTAACACTCTACTAGTTGAGCCACAGCACCACTGCTGGCTCTTTCCATGATTTAATTGGAGATATGAGTTTTGCAGGCTTTACTGCCCCCCGCTGGCTTGGAATCAAGATCCTCATATCTCAGCCTCCTGAGCAGCTAAGATTACAAGCATGAGCCACTGGTGCCTGGCTTGAAAATTCTTCTGTTTATGGATCGCATAAAATCTAAATCTCTTTATATATTTATTTATTTTGTCGGTCGTGGGGCTTGAACTCTGGGCTTGGACGCTGTCCCTACGCTCTCTAGCTCAAGGCAAGCGCTCTACCACTTGAGCCACAGCGCTACTTCCAGTTTTCTAGTGCTTTATTGGAGATAAGAGTCTCACGGACTTTCCTGCCCAGGCTGGCTTTGAATCACGATCCCCAGATTTCAGCCTCCTGAGTAGCTAGGATTACAGGCATGAGCCATCGGCGCCTGGCAAAATCTCTTAATATTTTTAAGCTCAAGTTCCTTGGACATTGCACTCTTTTCAGTTTTTCCTTAAACAGAATTCATTCTTTGTAGCTAACTAAACTAAAGAAGTCAGAGAGGGGCTGGGAAGGTGGCTCAGTGGTAGAGCGCTTGCCTTGCATGCCTGAGGCCCTGGGTTCGATTCCTCAGCACCACATAAGCAAAAAGAAAAAAAAAGCCGGACGTGGCGCTGTGGCTCATGTGGTAGAGCGCTAGCCTTGAGCTGAAGAGCTGAGGGACAGAGTTCAGGCCCCACGACTGGACCAAAAAAAAAAAAGAGAGAATAAAGTTTGGAACAAAGATTAATAAAATCCTTTGCTGAGTGGGGGAAGGGGAGAGGAGGAAGAGGAGGAGAACAACAAAGACAAAGACCAAGAAAGTTGGGCTGGGAATATGGCTTAGTGGTAGAGTGCTTGCCTATCATGGATGAAGCCCTGGGTTCAATCCCTTAATACCACATAAAGAGAAAAAGCCAGAAATGGTGCTATGGCTCAAGTGGTATCGTGCTAGACTTGAGCAGAGAGGCTCAGCAACAGACCCCAGGCCCTGAGTGCAAGACCCAGGACTGGCAGAAAGGAAGAGAGAGAGAGAGAGAGAGCCCAAGAAAGCCAAGAGTAGTAGTCCAAACCTGTAACCTGTAATTCTAGCATTTGGGGAGGCTGAGGCGGGACAATCTGAAGTTCCAGGACCATCTGGGCTACATAGTGAGATCCTGTCTCAAAAACAACAACAACAAAAAAAAACTTTAGGGACAACACTTAGACCCTGAGTTCAAGCCCCACCACCAACAAAAACAAACAAGTCTAGGCACAGTGGTTCATGCCTGCAGTCCCAATTACAAGAGGCCACAGGTGGAAGGATTGCAGTCCAAGGCTCGCTTTGGTCCAAAACACAAAACCTTATCAGAAACACAAATGAAGCAAATAGAGCTCAGGTCATGACTCAAGTGGTAGAGCGCCTGCCTAGCAAGCATGAGGCCTTGGGTCTAAACCCAGTGTTACCAAAAAGACAAAAATAAAAGGGTACTGAGCACCAGGCTTCACCCCCAGAAATGTTGGGTGGTGATCTTCAAACTTTCACATACTTCAGGGTCATTGGAGGGCTAGTTAAAACTCACATTACTACCAGATGCTGTTGGCTCACCTATACATCCTAGCTACTTAGGAGGCTGAGATCTGATAATCGAGGTTCCAAGCCAGCCCAGGCAGGAAAGTTCATTCACCACCAAAGAGTTAGAAGTGGAGCTGGGGCCTCAAGTAGTAGAGCACTAGCCTTGAGGAAATAGCTCCGGGAAAGCACCCTAGGCCTAAGTTGAAACCTCAGGACCATCACGTACGCGTGTGTGCGCACACACACACACACACACACACACACACACACACACACCACCTCACATTGCTAGACCCCAGGACCATCACACACACACACACACACACACACACACACACCACCTCACGTTGCCAGACCCCAGGACCATCACACACACACACACACACACACACACCCCACCTCACATTGCCAGACCCCAGGACCATCACACACACACACACACACACACACATACACACCCCACCTCACATTGCCAGACCCCAGGACCATCACACATACACACACACACACCACCTCACGTTGCCAGACCTATTCCCCTAGGTTTATGATTCAACAGGGCTTCTGTGTAAGAGTTTTATGTTTCTAGCAAATTCTTAGGTTGTACTGATGCTGCTGGCCTAGGCGCCACATTGGGAGAAGCTCTGGCATGGAGCAGCATACTGAGAAGATGCTGCTCACACCTTGGGCTGGGTGAAGTGTGGTGTACAGCAGAGACCCTCGCTTGGCTCAGGCCTGTGGCTTGGGGCTGGCCCCTAGGGAAAGACACTTCCCCTCTAGCCTCAGTCTCTCTGTCAAAAAGAGATAGACACTGAGGCTCTGGGCTTTCAGGGGTCTTGGGGGGCCTAGGAGAACCTAGGATGCAGAAGTGCTTACTAGGTATCAGAGTCCTTTTCCCTTTTCTTTTTTCTTTCTGGCCAATCCTGGGGCTTGAACTCAGGGACTGGGCTCTGTCCTTGAGCTTCTGTTGCTCAAGATTAGCGCTCTACCACTTGGGCCACAGCGCCACTTCCAGCTTTTTCTGGAATTGAACTTAGGGCTTCTTGCACGGTAGGCAAGCACTTTACCACTAAGCCACATTCCTAGCCCTCCTTTTCTTTTTCTTCTCTTTTTTCTTTTGTTTATCTTTCTTTCCTTCCTTCCTCCCTCCCTCCCTCCCTTCTTTCCTTCCTTCCTTCCCCCCTTTCTTTTCTTTTTGTGTATATAGGTCCTAGATTTGAACTCAGAGCCTGAGCACTATCCCTGAGCTTTTTTGTTCAAAATTAACACTTGAGCCACAACTCTACTTTCAGCCTTTTTTTTTTGTCATGGGGCCTGAACTCTGGGCCTGGGCACTGTCCCTCAGCTCTTCAGCTCAAGGCTAGTGCTCTACCGCTTGAGCCACAGCGCCACTTCCGGCTTTTTCTGCTCATGTGGTGCTGAGGAATCGAACCCAGGTCCTCATGCATGCAAAGCAAGCACACTGAGCCACCTTCCCAGCCCTACTTCCAGCTTTTTGATGGTTAATTAGAGATAAAGAATCTCATGGGCCAGACGCCAGTTGGCTCACGCCTGTAATCCTAGCTACTCAGGAGGCTGAGATCTGAGGATTGAGGTTCAAAGCCAACCCCAGCAAGAACGTCTGTGAGACCCTTATCTCCAATTAACCACCAGAAAGCTGGAAGTGGCACTGTGGCTCAAGTGGTAGGGCGCTAGCCTTGAGCTGAAGAGCTGTGGGACAGCACCCAGGCCCCAAGTTCAAGCCCCACAACTGACAAAAAAACAACAATCTCATAGATTTTTCTGCCCTGACTGACTTGGAACATTGATCCCCAGAACTCAGTCTCCCGAGTAGCCAGGATTGAGACACCAGTGCCCAGCTTCCCTATGATCGTGCAGACTCTCTTCTCCCTTTTTTTTTTTTTGGGTCCGGTTGTGGGGCCTGAACTCTGGGCCTGGGCACTGTCCCTCAGCTCTTCAGCTCAAGGCTAGCACCCTACTACTTGAGCCACAGCACCAGTTCTGGCTTTTTTCTGCTTATGCGGTGCTGAGGAATCGAACCCAGGGCCTCGAGCATGCAAGGCAAGCACTCTACCACTGAGCCACCTTCCCAGCCCTCTCTTCTCCTTTTGTGACATCCTGCATCCCTTTTTCAGTCTACCTTCTCTACAAATCTCTGCTGGGCCTCTGGGCCTATATAAATTCCCAGGTATCCTTTCTAAGTCTCTTCCGCTTTCTCTCTATTTGTATCTCTGGCCTTAGGTACAGTGGACCCAGCCCTAGACACATGCCTGCCCCCAGCATGTATGTCCCATTTCTTTTAGGGATGGTGAGTTTTGTGGGCACCCCTTAAAGAGTACATGCACATCAGAGTCTGAATACCATAATTTGGTGACGTGATGTCTTCTCTGAGTAGGATCTAGGTGTGGAGTGTGGCCTGGGTGGCTGAGTATCTGGGTGGGTCTGGCTCCTGCCAGCTCATGTCCTTTGTTTCTCTCCCCCAGGATGAGCAGAAGTGTGTGGAGACTGTGGAACTGGGCAGCTATGAGAAGTGTCAGGACCTCCGTGCCCTCCTGAAGCGGAAGCATCGCTTTATCCTCCTGCGATCCCCAGGGAACAAGGTAAGAGAGAATGCCTGCTGCTGACTGTCTCTCTCTCTCTCAAGGCCAAGATCTGTCTAAGATCACACTGGGGATAAAGGCAAGGCTGGACCAACCACTCAAAGCAGCCTGCAGATTCCCTGTTGAATGGACTGAGGTGCAAACCCAGGAACTACGACAGATTGGACCTTCCATTCTATCTTGGAGCCACCCAGTCCCTAGTTGATGGACAATGCACTTAGAGTCTGCTGAGATCTCTTCTTTCCTTCCCTCAGGACTCCAGCCCATAGTTGCAAGTAGCTGTTAGAGGTGGGTCCTTGGCCCTCCCCTGTACCCTGGATACAGGAGGCCCTTGGCTGAGCTTGCTGTAGATAACTCCACCCTGCCAGGCCTGCAGCACCTTAGAGTCTAGGACAGAGGCAAGGGCGTGGCCTTTCCTTTATCTCCCTCCTCTTGGTTCCAGGGCTAGGAGGCTGCAGCTCCTTTTCCTGTCCTTTCTTGGCTATAGCTGGGAAAGATCACGAACCTGAGAGATTCTTTCCCTGGCATCTGCCTTGAGTGCAGATAGTTTGCTGTTTGTACCACTTTTCCCTGGTGGGAATCTGGCGGGTGTTGCCACAGGGTGTAATTTCACAGATGTCAGGAGGGGATCAGATTTGAGGCTGGCAGCGGAGTCGAGCACCTCCTGCCAGTTCCTTCCACACCTCACCCTAAACTCTGCATGTCACCAGGTGCCTTGTATAGTTGGGGCTGACTCACAGAGAATAGGGAGGTAGGGAGCAGGTCTGGTCTAGGCCTGTTGGAGCCATTTCATTTCTCTTCTAGTTTTAGAGGGAAGAACCCAAGTTTCTGTGGTCTCTGGAAAGAGACCATAATGCTTTATCAATCCGCTCTGCAGAGGGCAGGGCAGGGGAAGTAGGCTGTAGAATTCTAATACTAGGTATTAGTTGGGTATACCCATGCCCAAGGGAAGGGCCATGGGTCTTTTTTTTTCTTGTTGTTGTTTGTTTATTTGTGTGCTGGTATTAGGGCTTAAACTCAGGGCCTGCATAATATCACTTAGCTTTTTCATTCAGGGTTGGTGCTCTACCACTTGAGCCACAACTCCACTTTCAGTTTTTTTGCTACTTAATTGGAGATAAAAGTCTCAGGGCCTGCATAATATCACTTAGCTTTTTTACTCAGGGTTGGTACTCTACCACTTGAGCCACAACTCCACTTTCAGGTTTTTTTTGCTAGTTAATTGGAGATAAAAGTCTCCCAGATTTCCCTGCTGGGGCTGGCTTCAAACTGAGAAGCTCAGATCTCAGCTTCCTGAGTAGCTAGGAATACAGGGAGGAGCCACTGGCACCCAGCATAGGTTTATACTGTTCTGAGAGTTCATGGGCTGGTCCCACGATTACAATATTTGCTGTTCAGGGCTCTTTGAGAACACAAGTCACATTTTTGGTCTCTCAGAGACCCTGTAGGCTTTACTGTATCCTGGAGACCTGCCGATCTTTGAGTGGATGCTGTATACATGTCTGTGTGAGAGAGGCAAATTGCATGTCTGCTGTGTGCCAGTCCTGTGGTCATGTGCATGTCACCGAGACATGGTTCTGCTGGGGTCTTTGTGTGGGTGTCACTTGGTGTGCCTGTGTGGGGAGGAGGGGACTTGTCTCAGTCATCTACCCATGCTGCTTTGTGACCCACTTCCATTCCCTACCCCTGAGGGTTGTTGTCCACTCCCTGGGTCAGGCCCAGCTCTGGGTAGGACATTACCTTCAGAGAGGCCTGATTATTGCAGCTGAACTCTCAGCTTCTTCAGCCACACCGTTTCTTCCGTCTCCTTACCCTGCCTAGAGTTCAGATCGGCTCTGAGAACAGCGATGGAGCTATATGAAGGCAGCAATGGTGGCCTCAGGGGAAAAGGCCCCTCGATCCTCCTCGCCACCCCAGCTCACAGTTTGAGGGCTTTCCCAGAGGCCAGATGGTAGACTGGCCAGGAGCATCCTCTCCTCTGCGTCCTCTTGGCTGCCTTTCTTATCACCCTGGGTGTTCCCCATCCTTCAGCGCAGCCTCCAGGAAGGCCGGGAGGTCATGTGACCCTGGCTGTCTGGTCCTGAGGCCGCCTTTTTCCTCTCTAATCAAATAAACAAAGACTCCAGTGTCTTGCATGTCCCTCTCCCTCTGCCTCTCCATCCCCACGCCCCTGCCCATGAGGTCACAGGCGGCCGCTGCCAGGAAAGCAGGGTGGCCACTGCTGGGCCTGGCTGTCCTGCTGGTCTTGGCCAGCTTGGCTCTTTCCTCTTTCCTGCCTCCTCTCGTCCCCCTCCCCCCCCCCCCTTTTCCTCTCTGCCCTTCTGCCCTTCCCCCTTTCCCAGGCCTGAGGGCCTATTCTGTGGCCTGTCTTATTAGCATCTAAGTTTGTAGCCAGGCCTCTGCTCTTGGACAGGCATGTGGCAGGGACCTGTGTAGCCTCGGCCCTTCAAGACATGGCCTCTTTTCTGCGTTTGTTGTAGTCCTTCCAGTCATGTGGAATGCTTCAGAATGCTTCAGGGTAGAGCTGTAACCTGTGGGCTCCCCTTAAGTCTTCCCTGAGGACATTTCCTTCTCAGGCAGCCAGTACTTTCCCAGAACACACTGCAGCCTCAGGTAGGCTCAGCCAGTGGGCAAAGGCCAGAGCACGAGTTGGATCTGATAGTTCTGTTTTTGTAGTTTTGTTCCGTGCACACATGCCAGTGCCAGTACTGGGGCTTGATGTCAGGGCCAAGGCATTATTCTTGAGTTTTATTGCGCAAGGCTAGCACTCTACCACTTAAGTCAGAACTCCACTTTCAGCTTTTTTGCTGCTTCATTGGAGATAAAAATCTCCAGGACTTTCCTGCCCCAGCTGGCTTTGAACTGCCAATCCTCAGATCTCAGCCTGCAGAGTAGTGAGGATTAGAGGTGCGAATCTTGGCACCTCACAACACTTGTGGCTTTTGGGTGGTTAACTGCAGACAACTTAGCCCTGGTTGGCTTCAAACCAGGATCCTCAGATGTCAGCCTCCCGAGCAGCTAGGATTAAAGTCTTGAGCCACCAGTGCAGGGACCAGACCCAATCCACGTGACTCTTCCCTGCTCCTCTGTTGCTCTAGGCTTCTGACTTCCATGTATGTCTTCAGCTTTCTGGGGTGCTGAGTCCTGCCCCAGCGTGCCCCCATCCCTTGCTCCCTTGCTCAGAGCTCCTGGATGGGAGCAGCAGCTGGGGTCATTGGGGCTAGCTTTGTGTCCCCTTTCCCATCACGAGAGTGAATGGCCCTTGCAGGAGACCTTCCCCTCTTCTCCCCCCCCTCCCCTGGTGGATGCAATGTGGTCCCTCCCTGAGCCCCAGCAGCCCTGATCGCTGAGCTGAGAAGCAGTTGCCAAGGTGTCCTGGGGTTTCTGACTTAACTGCAGATCTACTGCCAGGGTTGAATTTACCCTGCTCATGCAAATGAGCAGTTGGCTCTGCATAGTGTGCAGGGGGGACCCTGGGAGCCCCGTATGAGAAGGAGGTGGCGCTGCCAGGAGGAAGTTATATAATGAGGATGCCGAGGGGCCAGGCCAGGCGCACTGCGGTATTACATAACTGGGAGAGTTGGGGGAGGGGAGGCTGCGCTATCTAACACCAGGGCGGGGGATGGGCAGGCTGGCCACCGACAACAAAGAACTAGGGCACTTTGAGGTCAAGGAATAGGCAGCTGTCCAAAAAGGGGCTAAGGAAAGGAGTATTGGGCCAGTTCATTCATTTTTTTGGTTCATTCATTCAGTAACTAATTTCCGTGGGCCTACTATGTGTCTGGCTTGAAACCCTGTCTGATTCCCTCCCCATCACTTGGAAGTAATCTGTGTTAACCCGTTTTTCAGATGAGGAAACTGGGATTGTTTGTAAGGAAGTGCAACAACAGCATTAATTGCTGTTATCAGCATTCACTCAATTCAGCCCCCAGTTTAGCATTTTGGATATTTCTGGATAGGGGATACTGGGGTTTGAACTCAGATCCTTGTTCTTGCTAGACAGGCACATTCTGTTACTTGAGCCACACCTTCAACCCTTTATGCTTTGGGTCATTTTTCAGATATGGTCTCATGTTTTGTCTAACCGAGCCTCAGATTGCAATCTTCCTACAATGCCTTCCACTTAGCTGGGATTACAGACTTGAGCCAGTAGGCCAGAGGAGATATGTCTTTTTTTTAAATTGTGGTCATAGCTGGGAATGTGGCTTAGTGGTAGAATGCTTGCCTAACATGCATGAAGTCCTGGGTTCAATTCCTTAGTACCATATACATAGAAAAGGCTGGAAATGGCACTGTGACTCAAGTGGTAGGGTGCTACCCTTGAGGAAAAGAAGCTCCCAACAGTGCCCTTCAAGCCCCAGGATTGGCCAAAATAAATAAATAAATAAATTATAGTTATATACACATAATATAAAATCCTAGCTACTCAGAGGGCTTGAGATCTGAGGGTTGAGGTTCGAAGCCAGTCCAGGCAGAGAAGTCCCCATGAGATTATTATTTTAACATCTTAAGCATTTTATTTTATTTATTTATTTTTGTTGGTCGTGAGGCCTGAACTCTGGGCCTGAGCACTGTCCCTCAGCACTTCAGCTCCAGGCTGTGGCTCTACCACTTGAACCACAGCGCCACTTCTGGCTTTTTTCTTTTTGCTTGTGTGGTGCTGAGGAATCGAACTCAGGGCCTCAGGCATGCAAGGCAAGCGCTCTACCACTGAGCCACCTTCCCAGCCCTTACTTGGCTTTTTTCTTTTTTTTTTTTTTTTTGGTCCGGTTGTGGGGCCTGAACTCTGGGCCTGGGCACTGTCCCTCAGCTCTTCAGCTCAAGGCTAGTGCTCTACCACTTGAGCCACAGCGCCACTTCCGGCTTTTTTCTTTTTGCTTATGTGGTGCTGAGGAATCGAACCCAGAGCTTCATGCATTGCAAGGCAAGCATTCTACCACTGAGCCACCTTCCCAGCCCCTACTTGGCTTTTTTCATTCACTGCTGGTACTCTACTTGGAGCCATACCTCTAGTACAGCATTTTGCTGATTAATTGGAGATAGAGTCATCCTGGCAGAGATGTGATCCTCAGATGTGATCCTCAGATCTCAGCCTAACTGTCTAGGATTAAAAGCGTGAGCTATCAGTGCTTGGCCTTTTTACTCTCGGACTCTATGATATGAACAATTCTAGATAATAGGTTGAAAGAACCATACCGTCTTTGTTGTCTTTTTTCGTCAGCCATGGGGCTTGATCTCTGGACCTGGGTGTTATTCCTGAGCTCTTCAGCTCAAGGCAAGTACTCTGCCACTTGAGCCACAGTACCACTTCTGGTTTTCTGGTGGTTAGTTGGAGATAAGAGTCTCAAGGACTTTGCTGCCTGGGCTGGCTTTGAACTGTGATTCTTAGATCTCGGCCCCTTGAGTACTTAGGATTATAGGCAGGAGCCACTGGTGCCGGGCTGTTCAGTTACTTTTTGACCCCAGAGCCTTCCATGAGGCCCAGATACTTTCTTTGGGTTTTTTTTTTGGTCAGTCACAGGTGCTATCCCTGAGCTGTTTTTTACTCAAGGCTAGGATTCTACCACTTTGTGTCACAGCTCTACTTCCAGTTTTTTGGTGATCAGTTGGAGATGACTCACATAGGTTTTTGTGCCTCGGCTGACTTTGAACCATGATCCTCAGATTTCAGCCTCCCGAGTAGCTAGGATTACAAAGGTGAATCATCAGCACCCAGCCCATTTTTTTTTTTTAATGCTCCCTGAGGCAGATATGGTGCTGTTCTCTTATGGCTGAAGAAATTGAGGCCCAAGATGAGCTGTTACTGGTGACCTGTCCATCTTGGAGGCCCCGGTGGCCAACGTGACCATGCTGCAATGGTATTACTCCTGCCATTATCCTTCCTATTATTGGGCCTGGCAGGGCCAGGGCTCTGAGCTGCCTTCGATTCTGACACAGGCTCAGGGCTGTCACTCTAATATGTGAGCCACACCTCAACTTGTGGGATTCAGGAGTCAGGAAGTTAAGAGGGGTCTATTAGACGCCATGTCGACTAAATGTCATTGCACCCATGGGTCTCTCTCTTCATCTGCATGATCAGGGGTTGGAATTGGCTTCCTGATGCCCTTTTCTTTTCTTTTCTGTTGGTTGTGGGGCTTGAACTCTGAGCCTGGGCACTGTCCCTGCACTCTTCAGCTCAAGGCTAGAGCTCTACCACTTGAGTCACAGTACCACTTCGGTTTTCTGGCAGTTTATTGGAGATAAGAGCCTCAAGGACTTTCCTGCCCAGGCTGGCTTTGAACCGCGATCCTCAGATCTCAGCCTCCTGAGTAGCTAGGATTACGGGCTTGAGCCACCAACGCCTGGCTTTGATGCCCTTTTTTTTTTTTTTTTTTTTTTTTTGGGTCCAGTCGTGGGGCCTGAACTCTGGGCCTCGGCACTGTCCCTCAGCTCTTCAGCTCAAGGCTAGCGCTCTACCACTTGAGCCACAGCACCACTTCCGGCTTTTTTCTTTTTGCTTATGTGGTGCTGAGGAATCGAACCCAGGCCCTCATGCATGCAAGGCAAGCGCTCTACCACTGAGCCACCTTCCCAGCCCTGATGCCCTTTTCTTTAAAGCCTGTAATTCAAGGCCGGAAAGAACCTGGAGTTTCAGGAGTTGGGGTATAATTTTCACTTAAGGTCAGAGCTGGGTTTGGGACCCAGTGTGGAGCTAATGGTGGTCCTAGTTCCCGAACACCCTTCATGCCCATCACCTTTGATAGTACACTCACCTTATTGAGTATTGTTGAGTGTGGACTAGAACTATTCCTACTTGAAGAGAACTGAAGCCAGAGTTCAGGCAGCTGGTCTGGGGTAGTCCTAGCAAGCCAGAACCAGATCAGAACTCTCCACGGGCCAGGGTGCTTCTGTCCAAGCCTCTGGAAGTGGTAGCCTGGGAGAGATCCCCTTTTCTGCTGGGTCTGTCCACACTTGTCCCCAAGATCTGGTACCAGATCTTTTTGTTGTGAGGTCATTTTGGTTTGACTTTGAAAACTGGAGATAGGAAGCTTCTACAGACCTTCAGTGTAGTGAGTGAGGTCTGGTGGCACATGCCTGTAATCCCAGCACTCTGGGAAGCCAAAGTAGGGTGATGGTTGAGATTAAGGTCAGCCTGGGCTACATAGCAAGCCTCTCAGCAACACAAAAGACCTCAAACGTGAGCCCCATAGATACCTACCATCTACCCTATGGGTCTTTCTCACAGGTCAGTGACATCAAATTCCAGGCACCCAGTGGGGAAGAGAAGGAATCCTGGATCAAAGCCCTCAATGAAGGAATTAACCGGGGCAAGAACAAAGCCTTCGATGAGGTAGGACAGTGTGGTATGGATGGTTCCGAGTCCTCTGGCCCGCCATGCATGGTCTGGGAGAGGATCTGCCCACTTTACCCAGACCACCCTTTAATTATGCTGCTGCTCTACACCCTGGGCCTTACTTCAGCTAATCCTCAACATAGCTTCTCAAAGTGGGTGGTGGATCTGGGTGCCGGTGGCTCACGCCTGTAATCCTACTTACTTAGGAAGCTAGAGCTCTACCACTTGGAGCCATAGCTCCACTTCCCACCTTTGTGGGATAGTTAATTGGAAACAATACTTTCCTGCTTGGGCTGGCTTCGAAACACAATCCTCATCTTAGCCTCCTGAGTAGCTAGAATGACAGGCATGAGCCACCTGGGCCTCGTTTCCCATGTGAAGCTTACTCTGGCTTTCTAGCTACCCCTGGCCCCCTTTCCTGGTCCTCAGAGAAGAGCTGCTGCCCGCTATGCAATCAGACCTAACCAGTAGAGGCTTTGTTCTCTCTGGGTAATCCACGGGGAGCAGTGAGCGTGGCCGGGGCCAGGGCAGGCCTTTTCTGGAAACAAAATCTAGAGGGTAGCAATCTCATGAGCTTCGCTTCTCCCTACTTCCCAAAGCTGCTTAGATGTTTGAGGGGAAGTTCTGAGAGCCCATATTTAGGCAGCAAAACTGAGATGAACAGGGCAGCTGCAGAGAATAAGAGAGCTTCAGACTTAGCATAGGGACCACCAGTGGCAGCATAGCCAAGCCAGGCAGCAGAGGTACCTCATAGCTCCAATATTGGCCCTGCCAAGCAAGCATGAGGTACAGGGGTACCAGACCCTGCCAATGAGTTGGCGAAATCAGTATTTCTCCTTCTCCCCAAAGGACTGGCTGGGGCTCACCTATTTCCCTCTCCCTCCTAGGTAAAGGTAGACAAGAGCTGTGCCCTGGAGCATGTGACAAGGGACCGCGTTCGTGGGGGCCAAAAACGCCGACCACCAACGAGAATTCACCTGAAGGAGGTAAGGCCTTGCCCTCAGTTTGGATGCTGGGAGATCTGGTGAGCCTGAGGCCCCAGCTCCTTCAGGTGGCAGGCAGGCTCAGGGCAACCTGTTTCCTGAGGCCCCCTGGAGCTGGGGACATTATCCTCAGGGGTCAGTTTGAGGCCGTGGGTAGGGCAGGTTGGGTTGAGGGGAAGGAAAAGGGGGCCCGGGAAGGAGTGGGGGAGGGGGCTCCCCTCATAGGCTGCAGGATGGGGTGAAGAGGGAGGGACCCAGGAAGAGAATGCAAAGCAGGACCCACCCTGGCTTATGCCTGAATGTCAGGAATGGACAGGTCAGGATGGTGGCCAGAGGTGGCACAGGGCTGGAGGGAGGCCCTGGGCCCACATAGTGAGGAGAGGAAAGGAGGAGCCTCTTTCAGAGCAGTGGAGCTGGTGCGGGGGAGGGCTCCAAAGGCAAGGGTGAGGGGCTGGGAAGTTGGCTCAGTGGTAGAGCGTGTGCCTTGCATGCCTGAGGCCCTGGGTTTGATTCCTCAGCACCACATAAGCAAAAAGAAAAAAAAAGCCGGAAGTGGCGCTGTGGCTCAAGTGGTAGAGCGCTAGCCTTGAGCTGAAGAGCTGAGGGACAGCGCCCAGGCCCAGAGTTCAGGCCCCAGGACCGGATCCCCAAAGGCAAGGGTGACATTAGGGGCTGGAGTTGGGAAGAAGCCAGGGAAGAAGCAGCAAGAGGTAGGCAGCGCATCCCCAAAGGGATGGGCATGGGTCCTGACAGCCACAAGTAGCAAGGAAAAGCAGGTGGCGACATTGACAGTTTTTTTGAAGAGGAGTCAGGACTGTTGTGGGGAACATTACTGTGGAGATCCCAGAGGGGAGGACCCATGGATAGGAAGGCTCCAAGGTCTCAGATGAGGCAGCTGAAGGAAAGGCGCTACAGAGAGGAAATGAGGTCCCAGGGAGCATAGGACTCCCCATCCTCGATGGGGTGGGGAGAGGGCAAGCCTTGGAGAGGGGGGCCTCACAAGAACTCAGAGATAGAATAGAGTGTGCAGGTGTGTGTGGTCACACATGCACACACATGTGTGTGTGCACACGCCTATATGCATGTGTGCATGCATGTGTTTACTGGGGGATATCTCCAGAACATGAGCTTCCTGGTGGTCTCCAGGGATATATAGAGCAGGTGTTGGCCAGATCATGAGTTGCTTGCAAAAGGGAGTGAGGGTCCCAGCTAGAGTCTCGACTCTGTGAGGGATCTTGGGAAAAGGCCTCTTGGCCAGCTCTGTTCCAGGCTCCCTGAGAAGATTCCCCATAACTGTGGGGCGGCTGGCTTTCTCCCCTGTGTCCCTAGGATAACATTAAGGGGGGGGGTGTGGGCGGCCACCTGATTGGTACCGCTGCCTTCTGGCAGTCAGAGCTGGGCAGGCATGGACTGGAGAGTGGGTAGATGGGCGGAACAGAAAGCTCCAGAAAGGGCTGCAGGAGTGAGGGAGCTTGACATACACTTGACACCTCGATACCATCCCCCACCCCCTTGCCAGGTGGCCAATGCAGCTTCTGATGGGATTTTACGCCTGGACCTGGATGTTCCAGACAGCGGGCCTCCTGTGTTTACCCCAGGCCATGATGTCAGCCCAGCCCAGCCCCGGGAGACACCGCAGCCTCCCATGCCTCCTACCAAGCCTTCCCCAGCACTTGAGAGGACCAACCTTAGTGATGGGGTAGAGACTCCTGTGGGGGAGAGAACCCCAACCCCCATCTCAGCCAGCTCCGAGGGCCAAGAGGATTCAGAGACGCCGGTGGGGGAGGATGGTGGTTTGAAACTGCCCCCCAGCAACGTCTTGCCCGACAAACTAATGGTGAGCTGGGACAACTCCAGCTTTGAGGAGCCCCCTGCTCCTGAGAGCGCAGAACTGTCTCGGGTACCCTCTTCTGACACTTTGGAGGCTGCCCCCAGGGAGGGTAGGAAGCCCCCCGCACCCCCACCCAAAATCTTATCAGAGAAAATGAAGGCCTGCTTGAGTGGGGTAGAAGTTTCTGGTCCAGCCCTCAGTCCTGGGGCCGCTGAGAACGCTGCGTCAGGCCCTGAGCAGGTCTCAGTGAATGGCATGGATGACAGTGCCGAGCCAAGCAAGCCATCCCAGGCCAAGGGCACCCCAGGGACTTCCCCACAGGATGCCGCCCCATCTCCAGCCCTGCCCCGCTGGGACTCGCCGCCTCCGTTCCATCCCCGCTGCTCCTCCCTTGGGAACTTGCTTGGAGAAGGTCCCCGGCATCCACAGCTGCCCAGGGAACAGCTGTATCGGGCCCAGCTGGAGGTGAAGGTGGCCTCCGAGAAGACGGAGAAACTGTTGAACAAAGTGCTGGGCAGCGAGCCACCCCCCGTGAGTGCGGAGACCTTGCTCAGCCAGGCCGTGGAGCAGCTGAGACAGGCCACTCAGGTCCTGCAGGAGATGAAGGATTTAGGAGAGCTCAACCCGGAAGCCCCTGGGCTAAGGGAGAAGCGGAAGGAGCTGGTGACCCTGTACAGGAGAAGCGCACCCTAGGCCTGTGGCACACAGACGCAAGCATCCTTGGGGTCATCGTATCTGTCACAGCCTAGCCCTGCTGAGAAATGCACCCATAGCCCAGGCTGTAGAAGGATACCTGGGCACACTGGATTTGACCAGGACTTGAAGAATCTCCTGGGATCCTTCTTACCCTGACCTGACCCGGTGGTGCCAGGTGCCAGGGCCACTGTGGCTCCCTGGTCTGACCTGGCCTCCAGGCCTCTGGCTTGGATTGGTCCACACACTTAGGCCCTGTATGCTGTGTGCTTATTCCAAACGGCCCAGGGCTTTGGCACAGTGCTTGGGGTTTCTGGGGTTTCTCTGGGTCCCCACCCCTAGTAGTTTACATTCCTAACTTCTGAATAGAGCAGAGCTGAGCCCTCCCCCCCCCCCCCCCCCCCCCCCCGCCTCGCTTTCCCCATCTCCAGATGTTCCTGGCAGCAGTCAGCCCCTCAGAGGCCTTTGGTCTAGGCTGTAGGGTCATCTGTCCAGCTGGGTGAAACCTAGAGTCCAGTTGGAGTCTTAAGCCAAATGATAAGCATCTTCCAGAAAGAAGCCCTTAGCTGTACGGCCTACTCTGGGCTTGTTTCCTTCCCTGCTGACCCCTCTGCTTTGATGAGCTGTGATGGGAAGCTCAGATCTGGAAGATTCTAGGGAGGAGAGGAACTCCAAGGGTCTCCTAGTCTCTGCTCCTAGACCAGTATTGCAGATTCCTGCCTAGGTAAACCTCAGAGTGGCCTGATGTTAGCAAGTGAAAAACTAGCCAGGCACCAGTAGTTCCTGCCTAGCTACTCAGGAGACTGAGATCTAGGGACAGCACTTAGGGCCTGGATTTTAAACCAATACCAGCATTAAAAAAAAAACCAAAACAAAACTGAAAAACCTGTCCATAATGATAATAAATCAACCTTTAGAGTCCCATCTGTCCCCAGACTGTTGTACCTCTCAAATGAGATTTATCTGAGTCTTTGGGGTTCAACCCAAACAAATCCAGTATTCCTGTCATTTCTGTACTTGCTGGAGTCTGAGACCAATCCCCAGTGCCACCCCAGGTCCCTCCTAAGGAGGGAGAGTATTTTCTTCTCTCTTTTCCTGGGCCGTTCCTGGTCCCAGTCCGCCCCTATGGCCCCTAGCTCTGGGAAGTCATCACCCAGCCTTCTCCCCTGCTTTCCTCCCACCCCCAGCAGCTGGACTGAAGGTGGGGCCTGGGTTGGGAGGCGGGGAAGGGAGGATCATTGCAGCAGGCCCTGGCCTTTCTGTCCACTTAGCCCACCCCAGCTACCAGCTGCGCCCACTGAGGCCTTCCAACACCGGTAGAAACCTGTCCTGGAAGGAGTCCATACCAGGCTGGGTGGAGATGAACAGCAAGACCACGGCTCCTGAGCCCTCATCACCTGCCCCAAAGCACACCCCTTAAACCCCCAATGCCATAGTCTGCCTTTCCTCCATTTCCAAGAGTGTCCTCAGGGCGCATAGTCACATGACTCCCTGCCACCTTCCCCAGGGACCGGCTTTCCCCCACCAGCAGCCAGGGCTCTTGGCTTTAGCCAAGTCACCTGCCTCCAGGAATTGGGAGACCCAGTCTCCTCCTCCACTGAGCAACTAGCTGGGCATGTAGCTCTGAGCCCCCTCAGTGGCCAAATCGCTGCTTCCCTTGCTTTGTTTGGCTGCCTGAGTGCCCAGGGTGGAGAGGACGAGGAGGGGACCCACAGGGCTGCCTTCTTAACCTTCAGTGTCTTCTGCTTCTAAAAGCATCTTTCTTGAAGTTTGGCAATAAATCTCTTTTTACACAACTCCTCTGCCCCAAGCCTGTTGGTTGGTATGGGAGCGAGCTCCAAGACTGGCCTTGAGGGAGCAGAGGACAGGTCAGCGCTATTACCAGTCTCTCCCTCCCCCTCCCCCAATCTCAATTTTAAGGCCCTTTTAATAGACTGAGCTGGAGGCCCTGTCCCTCCCTCAGCCCAACCCCTCCCCACCCAACATTTCTACACCCTAGCCCAAATGTCATAATGCTTTCTCAGTTCAAAAACTTGTTTGGAACTAATCTAAACAGAAAAGTTGCAGAAAAGAATAGCACAAAGAACACACCCAAATACTCAAGACTGACTTGCTTTTTAATCTTTCAAGCACTTTCTCTCTTCTACATTTTTTTTTTTTCCTGGATCATTGGAAATGAATTACCACAGTACTTTACTGTGTGTGTGTGTGTGTGTGTGTGTGTGTGTGTGTGTGTGTGTGTGTGTGTGTGTGTGTGTGTGTGTGTGTGTGTGTGTGTGTCATCCTGGATCATTGGAAATGAATTACCACAGTACTTTACTGGGTGTGTGTGTGTGTGTGTGTGTGTGTGTGTGTGTGTGTGTGTGTGTGTCCTAGGAGCTGTCCCTGAGTGTGTGTGTGTGTCTGTGTGTGTGTATGGCCTAGGAGCTGTCCCTGAGTGTGTGTGTATGGCCTAGGAGCTGTCCCTGAGTGTGTGTGTGTGTGTGTGTGTGTTAGGCCTAGGAGAGCTGTCCTTGACCTTTTTTTGCTCAAGGCTAGCTCTCTACCTTCTTTAGCCACAGCACCACTTCCTGCTTCTTGGTAGCTGGAGATAGTCTCGTAGACTTTCCTGCCCTAGCTGGCTTTGAATCAAGATTATCTCAGCCTCCAAAATTATAGGCATTACAGCCAATACCATACTTTATTAAAACTTTAGTATGTATTTTCTGAAAGTATATGTGTTTGTGTGGCTTGTCTATGTGTGTGTGTGTGTGTGTGTGTGTGTGTGTGTGTTTAGCATCAGTAAACTTCACAACAATACAACAGTTCTGTCATTTCTGTCTGATTAATAGCCTTTATCATAAGGTTTTGGATTTTTCCCCTGGTTAGATAAAATGTTGGAATTCTTTTTTTTTTTTTTTCTTTTGGTAGGTTGTGGGGCTTGAACTCAGGGCCTGGGCACTGTCCCTGGGCTGTTTTGCTCAAGGCTAGCACTCTACCACTTGAGCCACAGCATCACTTAGCAGTTTTCTGGTGATTAATTGGAGATAAGAGTTACAGACTGGGGCTGGGAAGGTGGCTCAGTGGTAGAGTGCTTGCCTTGCATGCATGAGGCCCTGAGTTCGATTCCCCAGCACCACATAAGCAAAAAGAAAAAAAGCTGGAAGTGGCGCTGTGGCTCAAGTGGTAGAGCGCTAGCCTTGAGCTGAAGAGCGCCCAGGCCCAGAGTTCAGGCCCCATGACCGGAGCCCCCCCCCAAAAAAAAAAAAAAGTTACAGACTTTCCTGTGTGGGCTGGCTTTGAACTGTGATCCTCAGATCTCAGCCTCCTGAGTAGCTAGGATAACAGGCGTGAGCCACCAGCACTCAGCTGGATATCTCTTTTTTGTCTTTAATTTGAAATATTTCCATAGTATGTCTTTTTGTTCTGGCTTTTGGTACTGGTTCTGGGCACTGTCCCTAAGCTTTTATGCTCCATGCTAGTGCTTTACCACTTAAGGCACAGCTCCATTTCCAGCTTTTCTTTTCTTTTCTTTTAGATAGTTTAATGGAGACAAGAGTATCAGGTCCTTTCCTACTCAGGCTGGCTTCAAATCGTGATCCCTGGGGATCTCAATCACCTGATAATTAGGATTACAAGTGTGAACTACTGGCACCCAAACAGTATGTCTTGTGTGTGTGTGCCACTGCTAGCATGCTACCACTGGAGCCCCAGCTTTACTTCTGGCTTTGGGTGTTTAATTGGAGATAAGAGTCTCATGGGCTCTACTGTCCCAGCTAGCCTTCAGCTGTGATCCTCAGATCTCAGGCTCCTGAGTAGCTAGGATTATAGGCGTGAGCCACCAGCGTGTTGCACACAGTACATTTCATGGTACATTTTTGGAAAACATACTCCTAATCACTCACACTCCTTTGTTAAGCATTTATATATATTTTTTTGAGGTAGATTCCCTATGTACCCAGAGTAGCCTAGAACTCACAAACCTCCTGTTTTAGCTTCCCCAGTGCTGAGATTACAGGAGTACACCGCCTTGCCGGTCTTTCTTCCCCCTCTTAGTGAGGATGGCTCCTCATTTGTTCTTAGTCTAAGATTTGTTTTTCATGGTTGGATGGATTCTCAGCTAGAAAACTGCAATGATGAGGTAGTTTTGCTTGTTTATTTACATGCTGGGGACTGAACTCGGAACTGATCCTTGTGCATGTGTTCCAGCCTACCTCTGAGTTAGCATGATGTTTATTTTGACCACCTGGGCAAAGAGGTCTGATTTTTTTCTTTTTTCCTCCCCAATTAAGCAATCAGTCAGAAGCTTCTTAAGACCATACTCAAGCTGGTCACCAGTGGCTCAAGCCTGTAATCCTAGCTACTCAGGAGGCTGGCTGAGATCTAAGGATCTTGGTTCAAAGCCAGCCTAGGCACGAAAGTCGAGACTCTTATTTCCAATAAACCACTAGAAAACTGGAAGTGGCGCTGTGGCTCAAGTGGTAGAGCGCTTGCCTTGAGCTGAAGAGCTGAGAGACAGCACCCAGGCCCAGAGTTCAAGCCAAGCCCCACAACCCCCACACACACAAAAAGACCACGCTCAAATATATTACACCTCACTACAATTTCCCCAGACTTACCCTCTATGGATGAGTTTACTGAACAGGTGTTTCCTGTACTGGTTCCAAAATCATGATTCCATCTGTTTTACCATCAGATCTTGTTATATTTAGGGGTAAGCGTGGACCCTGCTTTATGCCTCTGGATCCCTGACATCACAGCACCCTGATTGCTCAGAGCCAGTGGGTAGAAACCCAAGTTAGACTACCAAGGTGCGCATGAATCTGTTTTAGGAGGTCTCAATTTGCTTACCCATGAGAGCCAATTGCAGTACCACCTACTCCCAGCCACCCCACCCCGTGGGAACCCAGGGCAGTGATGGCCAAAAGCTGCTGGACAGGCACGCTTCGTAGCCAAACATAACAGGAAACACCTGACCTGGGACCTATCCACTGTGGCTATGACCCTGGGTCCCTCATGAATTCCCCTGCCTCAGCCTGGCACGTGAGTGACCTAGGGGACCTCAGATGAACCACGGGGGGGGGGGGGGGGGGGAGGAGGGGACCGGCATTTCATCAGAGAGGAGTCTTGTTGATGGGAATGTCTCTTCACCTTTGACCCAGGAAGTAAATCCCCTCTGGAGAAACCCCCTCCCCACACACACACCTTGAAAGGAGCAGTGGCTGGGATAGTGTTGGTGGCCAGCAGCAGGGCTGAGGAAGGGTGTGGTAAGTACTTACTTTCTTCAGGCCTTGGGGACTGGAGGCAGAAAAGGGGAGCCTTCTGAATACAAGCTGTGACACCTCAGAGATCTGAAAGCCCTGTGGGTAGTTACAATGTAGGGTTCCACAAACTGGCTTTGGAACTACTGTGTTGTGTGTCCCAGGCAATGGGGATATCATTAAAAAATTGTTTTTTTTTAGGGGCTGGGAAGGTGGCTCAGTGGTAGAGGGCTTGCCTTGCATGCATAAGGTCCTGGGTTCGATTCCTCAGCACCACAGAAGCAGAAAAAGCTGCAAGTGGCACTGTGGCTCAAGTGGTAGCGTGCTAACCTTGGGCTGAAGAGCTGAGGGACAGCGCCCAGACCCAGAATTCAGGCCCACTACCGACAAAACATAAATAAAAATTCTTTTTACAAAATACAAACATGGGTCAGTAGCCCATGGCTCATGCCTATAATCCTAGCTACTCAGAGGCTGAGACCTGAGGATTGTGGTTTGAACCCAGCCTGAGGGGTCGGGGCGGGGTGGGGGGGTTGTGGGGGAGCTCATGAACTCTTACCTCCAACTAACTACCAAAAAGCTGGAAGTGAAGCTGTGGCTCAAATGGTAGTGTGCTAGCCTGGAGCTAAAAGAACTCAGAGACATGGATGGCTCAGGCCCTGAGTTCAAGCCCCAGGACTTGTACCAAATAACTGTGTGGAAGTTCACTGTGGTGATTCCTTCCCGTTGTCAGAGTCTTACAAAACAAACTTCCTGGAGCAAAGGTAGTGTCAGGAGCAGGGATTTGAACCCTACAGGGGTTGTGGCCTGGACCACAAGTTAGTGCTTCCTATTTCCCTGCAGGGCCTGTGACTTCAGGTGGAGGTCAGTCTGGAGACTTGAGCTTAAGGCATCTCCACTTTCCGAGTGCGAGGGATGCTCCAACCCAGTTTGGCTGTCTTAACAGCCAGCTATGGGTCTAGGGAGCAGCTCGGGAGGCCTTTCCTTATAAGGATAACAACTGAGATGTGATGAAAGTTCTGGGCCTCCCAGCTGGGTAGGCGGAGGAAGGGAAATGACTGAGGCTCCCAGAGCTACAGCCCAGAGCCTGAGCTTCTGCAGAAACTCTTGCTCGCCCACAGGCCTCTGTCCTCTTCCTCCTGTGTCAGCATCCCAAAGGCGGGCATAAGGCCAGTGGGGTAGGTCCAACGCAGGACTTAGAAGGCCAAGATGCAGAAGGGAAGATGCATAAACATCTGGCTTTTGGGTGGTTAACTGGGTGATAAGAGTCTTACAGACTTTTCTGTCCTGGATGATTTTGAATTGCAATCCTCCGATGTCAGCCTCCTGAGGAACCATCCAGCACTCATTTTATTCTTTTCTTGGTGAAGCACACGGTTTCTAGGCTGGAGCTACGAAGGCTCCATTTCTTTGCCCATCGCTACTCTGCGGGTGAGGGGAAAAGTCTGGCTGTAAGGCCAGGTCTGGTTCATGCCTCACAGATTTGCAGCCTGCTGGCTGCACACGGGGCTGGGTGGCCAAGGTGAGGTCTTCTGTGGCCCTCGATCTGCACAGTGGTTGAGGGCAGCCTTGCCCAAAGTGCTTGGCCAGCTTCCAGCCACCTCCCTCTAGGCAGCTCGGCAAAGAGTTAGCATAATAGGCCCTGCCCACTTCATTTCCTGCTTTGCCTGCGGCCTTGAATTTGAAGGAAGTGGGCTAGTGCCAGGCCAGGGCTATGCTGAGGTAGAGGCCTGTGGGTACCCAAAGTCCCCAAACTATTCTACAAAGGATTTCCCAGACCAGACAGTCTCCACCCCCCCCCCCTCCCTCCCCCCCTTACAAAAGGAACCTTGAAAAGAACGTAGACTTGGACATTAGTCCTAGGCCGTCATCAGCCCCCACAGTGGCTGTGGAAGGCAGGATCTCCATAAACTTCATGCCTTTACCTGTTTCTGGAGTCCTAGAGACACTGTATTTTTCAATATTAGTTTTGTATTGTTTTGTTGCTGGTACTGGGGCTTGAACTCTGGGCCTGGGCACTGTCCTTTAGATTTTTTTTTGCTCAAGGCTAGCACTCTACCCCTTGAGCCATACTTCCACTTCAGAATTGTTTTGGGTATCATGGACTATCTTACCTGGGCTGGTTTCAAGCCCTGATCTTTAAATCTCAGCCTCATGAGTAGCTAGGATTATAGGCATATGATCTACCCACCCAGGGCTATCATATCCAAGTTCTTTTTATAAGACTAAGTAGCAAATTTGATGGGTGATACAGATCCTCCATTCCAGAAGCTGAGATGTGGTTCAAGTGGTAAAGTGCCCAACTTGAGCACAAAAGTCAAGCAAGAGTACCAGGCTGTAAGTTCAAACCCCAGGGAGTTCAAACTGGGCACCAAAAACAAAACAGAAAAAAAAAACAAAAAACCACCAAGCAGGTATTGGTGGCACATACCTGTAATCCTAGCTACTTAGGAGGCTGAGATCTAAGGATCAAAGTTCCAAGCCAGCCCAGGCAGGAAAGTCTGTGAGACTCTTATCGCAAATTAACTACCAAAAGGTAGGAAGGGGAGCTATAGCTTAAGTGGTAGAGTGCTAGCCATGAGCAGAAGGAGCTCAGGGACAACATCTAGGCCTTGAGTTCAAGCTCCAGGACTGGTATAAAAAAAAGAGAAAAGGAAACATCCTGTAGCTCTGTGAATCTGGACAAATTTGCTAACCTCTCTGATCCTGTTTCCTCCTCTGTTTGATGAGAGAATGATGTCTACCTGAGAGTTTTGATGGTGACATGGAATCATGTGTGAGCAGTACTTAGAAAGTCCCCCTAGCAGTCTCTCTGAGAGCAATGTCCTTTCCTCTGGCATTGTCTCTCAGGAGAGCTTGCTCTGGTTACTTTCAGACCCTCCAGGAACCCCTCTAATTCTTTATTTATGTGGTACCAAGGAATTGAACCCAGGGCCTCATGCATGTTAGGCAAGCACTCTACCAACTAAGCCACATTCCCTGTCCCTTCTGTAATACTTATCCCAGGAAGACTAAGACCAGAAAGCCTTTAGGAAACCTGCATTTTACAGATGGAAAGAGTATAGGGAAGAGACTTGCCCAAGGTCACATGAGGAGCCAAATCTCTTGGCAACCTTCCCTCCCCACCCTCTTCCTCTTCGGGAAACGGCCTGGTCCGGTCATTTGCGGGAACAGTCCTGGACAGCAAACAGGCTATATCTTTCGGTGTGCAGCTCAGCACTGAGGCCTGGAACCAGGAAACAGGAACCGGAAGTGTCTTGTCTGATGTGCTTCTCCTGGGGGCGGTCGCCTTGAGGGCTTCCTGAAATGCAGCTGGGGCAGCTGCATCAGGACATGACAGAACTCTTAGTATCAGTGTTTGAAAGATCTGATCTTGAGAGTGAGGTAAGGAAGGAGGAGAGATGGGACAGACATTAGAACAAACAAGTTTTCCCAGCAGAGAATAGGCAGATGTGTTCTAGAAATGATAAGTAAATGAATGACCTGCGATGAAGTAGATGCAAGAACACATAAACTGCAGTTGAAAAGAGTTTATGAGAGTTGAAATCCAGCCTGGTGACCTACGTCTGTAATCCTAACTACTCTGGTAGCTGAGATTTAGGGATCATAGTTCAAAGCCAGCCATGACAAGAAAGGCTAGGAGATGCTTATTTCCAATGAATCACCAAATAGTTGCAAGTAGAGCTGTGGCTCAAGTAGTAGAGTGCTAGCTTTGAGAAGAAAAAGCTAAAGGACAGTGCCCAGACCTTGAGTTCAAGCCCCAGTACAGCCTACATACCACAAAAAAGAGAAATATACATATATATATATAGAGAGAGAGAGAGAGAAAAGCCTTATAAAACAATTGCCAAGGGCTGGGAAGGTGGCTCAGTGGTTAAAAGCGCTTGCCTTGCATGCCTGAGGCCCTGGGTTCGATTCCTCAGCACCACATAAACAAAAAGAAAAAAGCCGGAAGTGGCACTGTGGCTCAAGTGGTAGAGCACTAGCCTTGAGCTGAAGAGCTGAGGGACAGCGCCCAGGCCTAGAGTTCAGGACCCATGACCGGACCCAAAAAAAAAAAAAAACAATTGCCAAAAGATAATTTCATATAAAAATGAGCAAAAGACATGAATAGATATTTTACCAAAGGAAAAAAAAAACTCATATGAATAACAAACACAAAGACATGATTGAGCTGAGGATATAGCTCAGTGGTGACATAACTTGCCATGTGTAAAGGCCCTGGGTTCCATCCCCAGCACAGCACTGCAAAAGAAAAAAAGAAAATATGTCCAACCTTATTAACATTCAGGAAAATGTAAATAAATACTACAATGAATTTTCACATCTATTTGTCTGGCAAAAATCAAACAATTGGGCAATTCAAAAGTGAAAGAAAAGATACAATAAAATCTCTGTCTCCTCTCTCTCTCTCTCTATTTCTTTGTCTCTGTCTCTCTCTTTCTCTGTCAATTGTGGGGCTTGAACTTGGAGCCTGGGCGCTGTCTCTGTCTCTCTCTTTCTCTGTCAATTGTGGGGCTTGAACTTGGAGCCTGGGCGCTGTCTCTGAGCATTTGTGTTCAAGACTATCACTTTACCACTTTGAGCCACAGCTCCACTTCCAGTTTTTGGGTGGTTAATTGGAGATATGAGTCTCACAGACTTTCCTGCCCTGGCTGGCTTCGAACCATGATCCTCAGGTCTCCCCCTCCTAAGTAGCTAGGATTACAGTTTTGAGCCACTGGCACCGGCTTTGCCTCTCTCTTTCGAGACTAGTTTGGGGGACTTGCAATCATCTTGCCTCAACCTTCTGAATGCTGGAATTAGAAGCACTTATCATACCCAACAAATATTTATGTATTTTTTCTTTTCTTTCCCCCCCTCCCCCCCCAGTCCTGGAGCTTGAACACAGGGCCTGGGCTCTGTTTGCTCATAGCTAGCACTCTACACCTTGAGCCACAGCACCACTTCCAGCTTTTTCAGTTTATGTGGTACTGAGGAATAGAACCCAGGGCTTCATGCATGCTAGGCAAGCACTCTACCACTAAGCCACATTCCCAGCCCTTTTTTTTTTGGGGGGGGGGGGGGGGGAAGTGAGGATTGGTCATGGGACTTGAACTCTTGGCCTGAGCGCTGTCCCTGAGCTCTTCAGCTCAAAGCAAGTACTCTACATTTGAGCCACAGTGCTGGTTTTCTGGTGGTTAATTGGAGATCACAGACTTTCCTGCATGGGCTGGCTTTGAACCGTGATCCTCAGATCTTAGCCTCCTGAGTAGCTAGGATTACAAGAGTAGCCACCAGTGCCCAGCTTTTTTTTTGAGACAGGGTCTCACTGTGTGGCCTGAGTTGGCCTCAGACTTCTGGGATCCATTAAATCATGCCCCTCTACCCTCCCTAGAAGCTGGAACTACAGGTGTTCACCTCTACGCCCAGTTAACAGCTGAAATTTGAGCCAAACTGCTGCCCTGCAGGAGAGTCCAGGGCCTGGAATTTTCTGACTCTACGGAGGAAAGCTAAATGAAAGTAACACAGCCTGGGGTGTGTGTGTGTGAGGGGGAGAGGTTCCCTTCCTGGGTCTCACCCCAGCTTCAGTTCTGGAATAACAATTCAATAATAATTACAGGTACCCTGCCCTCCCTTCCTGCCCAAGGAAGAGACAGACATGCAGAGGCCTAGACAAAGTTGGATGGCAGGTGGGGCGGGAGCAGCTGGTAAGGACTGGCATCTTAACCCATCTGCAAGCACTGGGGACTTGGGTATTGAACCTGCTGAGCTTGGATTATGCACCCATAATCCCACTGACACCTAGGTTGGTTTTAAATCTTGGCTATTATGAATAGCTCTGCAATAAACAAGGAAGTTCTGACATATTGGTTTCCCTTCCTTTCCTCTAGATCTATACCCAATCGGGAGGTAGCTAGATCATAGGACAGTTCTATTTTTAATTCAATGAGGAACTTTCATGGTTTTCCATAATGACTACACTAATTTCCATTCCTACCAACAGTGTACAAGACTTTCTCTCCACAGCCCTGCCAGCATTTATTATTAGTGTGATTATTGTCATGTATTAGTATTGTCATTTTGATGGTAGTTATTTTAATTGGGGTGAGATTAACACCTGTCTTTTGTTGTTGTTTTGTTTGTGTTTTTGTGCTGGTACTGAAGCTTAAATTCAAGGCCTGGGCACTGCTCCTGAGCTTTTTCTTTTCTTTTTTTCTTTTTTTGGTCCGGTCGTGGGGGCTGAACTCTGGGCCTGGGCGCTGTCCCTCAGCTCTTCAGCTCAAGGCTAGCGCTCTACCACTTGAGCCACAGCACCACTTTCGGCTTTTTCCCGTTTTGCTTATGTGGTGCTGGGGAATCGAACCCAGGGCCTCTGGCATGCAAGGCAAGCGCTCTACCACTGAGCCACCTTCCCAGACCCCCCTGAGCTTTTTTAACTCAAGGCTGGAGCTCTACTACTTGAGCCATAATTCTACTTTTGGCTGTCTGCTAGTTAATTGGAGATAAGAGTCTCAAAGACCTTACTTGCCCTGACTGGCTTTAAACATTGATCCTCAGATCTCAGCCCCCTGAGTAGTTAGGATTACAGGTTTGAGCCATTGGCACTGAGCTCTGAGTTAATAGATTTCTCATTGTGCTTAAAATCTATCTACCTATTGGCAGGTCTTGGTATCTGAACTCAAGGCCAGGGTGCTGTCCCTGAGTTTCTCAGGCTCCAAGCTAGCACTCTAGCACTTGAGCCACAATACTACTTCTGGCTTTTACTGAGTAGTTTATTGGAGATAAGAGTCTCACAGATGTTCCTGCCCAAGCTAGCTTCAAAACTTGATCCTCAGATTTTAGCCTCCTGAGCAGCCAGGATACAGGTGTGAGACACTGGTGCCCAGTTTAAAAATATTTTTGATCTTCTGATGCTAAAGGCAGGGCTTCACTGGTAGAGCCAAGTAAGCAGGTACTGCCACACACACACACACACACACACACACACACACACACACACAATTTTGTTATTGTTGTTGTTATGGGGCTTGAACTCAGGATCTGGTGCTGCCCCTGAGCTTTACTGTGCGAGGCTAATGCTCTACTACTTTGAGCCACAGAGCCACTTCCTGTTTTCTGGTGATTAACTGGAGATGAGTCTCACAGATCTTCTTCCCTACCTAGCTTTGAACCTCAATCCTCCAATCTCAGCCTCCTGAGTAGCTGGGATTATAGGAATGGGCCATATATATGCATATATATAATTTGTTTTTCTTATGCTGATACTAGGGCTAGAACTCAAGGCCTCAAATTCTTACTTGGCTTTTTCATTCAAGCCTGGCTCTTTTCCACTTGAGCCATAGTTCCACTTCTGGCTTTTTGCTGGCTAAAATGGAGATGAGGGTATCCCAGACATTTTTGTCTGGGTTGGCAGATCTCATCTCCTGAGTAGCTAGGATTATAGACATGAGTCACTCGTGCAGGGCTAGAAGGCAGGTTTGTTTGTTTGTTCATTTTTGCCAGTCCTGGGGCTTAACTCAGAGCCTGAGCACTGTCCCTGAACTTCTTTTGCTCAAGGCTAGCACTCTACCTCTTGAGCCACAGGGCCACTCTTGGCTTTTTCTGTGCATGTGCTACTGAGGATTCTAACCCAGGACTTCATGCATGCTAGGCAAGCACTCTACCACGAAGCCACGTTCCCAGCCGGAGGAGGCAGGTTTTAATAGGAAGGAATAGGGGCTCGGGGATCCCATTCTGGAATGAGGGGATGACCAAGTTTGATCAAAGGGGATCAAGGACCCCAGGGCCTGGAAGAGTGTGGTGGGGACTAGGTTGGCCTGACAGTAGGAGGAGCAAGTGAGGGCTGAGGGGGAGCCTGGGTTCTGGCTGGGCGTGTCCTGAAGCCAGAGGGACAGGAGTAGGCCCCTCCTCTGTGTTCCCGTGGTCCTCCAATGGGAGCTCTTCCATCTCCCTGCCTGACAGCAGCCGGGCGCTCAGGGCTGCACCGAGGAGTCACAGGCTCATGACTGTCTCCTCATGTGACCTTCAATGAGTCAGGAGGGGAAGTGAGGAGCTGCAGGGGGGATTCCCAGGATGCAGGCGGCTGAGGGCCCCAGGGGAAGGAACCTTTGGGGTATCTTGGAGGACCAGGCCTTTGCAAGACTGGACTGTGAAGCTATTCTCTGCCAGGGTTTTAGGCCAAATGTGTTGGTGTTCTTTCCCTTTCCCTTTTCTCCTTCCCTCCTTCCACCTCTCCTCCCCTCATCTCCCCTTCCCATCCTCTCCTCTGCTTTCCTCTCTCTCCTTTTTTGTGCTAGTCCTGGGGCTTGAACTCAAGGCTTAGGTGCTGTTCCTTAGCTTTTTTGCACAAGGCTAGTGCTTTACCACTTGAGCCACAGCTCCATTCCTGGCCTTTTTATTATTATTATTATTATTTTGTCAGTCGTGGGGCCCGAACTCTGGGCCTGGATGCTATCCCTCAGCTCTTCAGCTCAAGGCTAGTGCTCTACCACTTGAGCCACAGCACCACTTCCAGCTTTTTTCTGCTTATGTGGTGCTGAGGAATCGAACCCAGGGCCTCATCCATGCAAGGCAAGCGCTCTACCACTGAGACACCTTCCCAGCCCCTCCTGGCCTTTTTTTTTTGGAAGTTGTCTCACAGAAGTTGGGCGCCAGTGGCTCACGCCTGTAATCCTAGCTACTCAGGAGGCTGAGATCTGAAGATCATGGTTCAAATCCAGCCAGGGCAGTAACGTTTATGAAACTCCCTCCCTCTTCCCCCCACCCCTCACCTGGTGATGGGGCTTGAACTCTGGGCCTGGGTGCTGTCCCTCAGCTCTTCAGCTCAAGACTAGCTCTCTACCACTTGAGCTACAACTTGAGCCACAGCACCACTTCTGGCTTTTTCTGTTTATGTGGTGCTGAGGAATCGAACCGAGAGTCTCATGCATGTGAAGCAAGCACTCTACCACTGAGCCACCTTCCCAGCCCCGTGAGACTCAGAGTTCAAGCCCCATGACCTACAAAAATAAAAATGAGTCTCACAGGTTTTACTGCCAGGGCTGGTTGGGAACTGTGATTCTCAGATTTCAGCCTCCTGAGTAGCTAGGATTACAGGTGTGAGCCACTGGCACCCAGCTTGGAGGTTCCTCTTGGGTCAAGCCCTGAAGAGGTCATGCTTGACCTTCTTCCCCAGTGGCCTGCACTCTGCAGCTGACCACAGGCTGCAGGGTCACCCAGCCAGGCCTTGTGTCTTCCTTCAGTCCCTGGAGGCAGGCCGAAGCTGGCTGTCAGCCTTCAAGCTGAGCTGCCTTGGAATGACTCTGGCCTGGCCCGGAGGCCTGAGAAGGAAGGCCCAGCAGCCTCCTAAGGGAGGCTGAAGGTCTTCCTCTCACCCATGATCCTCAGATAATGAACAGATCTGAAATTGAGCCTGAGGAGAATAGGAACTAGGATCCAGAATGAAGAGCCAAATCAGAGAGCCAGGGGACACCCAGACAGGGAAGGCTAATAACAGCTTCCACACTGACCCTAAGAGTCCAGGGGCTGCACTTCACAGTTCTACTCAGAGTCTCCTGCTTTCTAGGCAAGTGCTATACCATGAGTCATGCCTCCAACCTTGAACTACATATTGTGTGTGTGTGTGTGTGTGTGTGTGTGTGTGTGTGTGTGTGTGTGTGTGTGTGTGTGTGTGTGTGTGTGTGGTGGGGCTTCAGGGCCTGGATGCTAAGTTATTTTGCTCAAGATTAGTGTTCTACCACTTTGAGTCACAGCCTCCATCCACTCCTAGTTTTCTGCTGGTTCGTTGGAGATAGGACTACAGGGATTTTCCTGCCCTCACTGGTTTGAACCACGATCCTCAGCTCTCAGCCCCCCTGAGTATCTAGGATTACATACATGAGCCACCAGCACCCAGTTTGGATTACATTTGTTGTTGTTGTTGTTGGTGGTGGTGGTGGTAGTACTGGGACTTGAACTCAGGGCTTTGCACTCTTGCTTGGCTTTTCTGCTCAAGGTTGGTGCCTTCACACCTGAGCCACATCTCCACTTCTGGCTTTTTGCTGATTTATTGGAGATGAGTCTCTTGATTTTGTCTGTCCTGGCTGGCATCAAACAATGATCCTCAGGTCTCAACCTCCTGAGTGGGATTATAAGCATGAGCCACCATCCTGGGCTGCAGTTTTACATTCATTTGTGTACCCTAGTTTGGAAATCTTGTGAAAAGAACTGAGATTTGGGGTCATGTCTACATAGATTCTCCTACTTCCTAATCAGGGGATCTTGAGAATATCATTTCATCTCTCTGGGCTTGCTCATGGTCATGCTGGGGTCTGGTCTTTCCCCGAGCTGCAGTGGAATGCAGGGTTCCTGAGCTTGATGTCTGGCCATGATTTCTACTTGGTCTTGTTGGCTTTCCTGATTCCTGCAGTCTCCCAAGCCCTCTCCTTAGTCATAGGAGCTACTGCACTCCAAATGTGGCCTACTCTGACAGCGTATCTAGGAGGAGGTAAGTGCTTCTTTGTGCCTGTCTGAAGGCCTGCCATTCCAAGGGGACATGTTTCCTGGAGTCCACCTGAGTCTTCCAGTACTGTCTGACAGTCCTCGTCCTTGTGTTCTAGCTAGGAAGTGGGTATAGACTCTGTTCGCACAGGGGAGGCCTGGTAGTGTGGGTAGGGGACTGAGGATCCAGGTTTGTCTGGGCACTGATGGCTCACATCTGTAATTCTACCTACTCAGGAGGCTGAGATCTGAGGATTGTAGTTCAAAGCCAGTCCAGGCAGAAAAGTCCATGGGACCCTTGTCTCCTATGGTTCAAGCACTAGGGCACTAGTCTTGAGTACAAAAGCTCAAGGACAGTGCCCAGATGCTGAATTCAAGCCCCAGGACCAACACAAAGGAAAAAAAAAAAGAAGAAGAAGTTGGGCTGGGAAGGTGGCTCAGTGGTAGAGTGCTTGCCTCACATGCATGAGGCCCTGGGTTCAATTCCTCAGCACTACATAAACAGAAAAAGCCAGAAGTGGTGCTGTGGCTCAAGTGGTAAAGCGTTAGGCTTGAGCTGAAGAGTGGAGGGACAGCGCCCAGGCCTAGAGTTCAAGCTCCATGACCAACAAAAAGAAGCAGCAGCCAGATTTGGTCCTGGCGCTGCTTTACTGGATACCCTTGAGCAAGTCGCTGGCCCTTTCTGGGCGTAGATTTCACACATGTAAATAAAGAGGCAGCTTTAGGAGCTCAGCTTTCTCCTTGCTTCCTCTCCCCAGCTGCAAATGAGGTGGGCGAAGGGGCCCAGAGAGACTCCTGCTCTTTCCTATTGAGTAACTGATTTCTGTTTCTATTCCAGTTGAAGTCGTGGGAACCGGGGAGGGAGGCCTGAGGGGTGGAGAGGAAGTTACTGGTATGAGTGAAAGACTAGCTGACACGAAGCCCTTCCCCACTGGAACTACCCTCTACACACACACACACACACACACACACACACACACACACACACACACACACACACACACACACAATTGGAAGGAAGAACTTAGATGTTTCCAAGGATGGTCTGGGGTGGGTAACATTATCTGGTGTCTCTAACCAGAGTGAGCACTCTGGATACTAATCTGGGTCTCTCAAGAGGGAGGCGTCATAAACTGGGCGCCTGTAGCTCACAACTATAATCGTAACTACTCAGGAGGCTGAGATCTGAGGATCGTGGTTCAAAGCCAGCCCAGGCAGAAAAGTCCGTGAGACTCTTATTTCCAATGAACCACCAGAAAACCGGAAGTGGCGCTGTGGCTCAAGTGGTAGAGCACTTGTCTTGAACTGAAGAGCTGAGGGACAGCGCCCAGGCCCAGAGTTCAAGTCCCATGACTGACAAAAAAAAAAAAAGGCATCACAGGCCTTCTAGACTAATCTCCCATCCTGCTAGTGTGTGTGTGTGTGTGTGTGTGTGTGTGTGTGTGTGTGTGTGTGTGTGTGTGTGTGTGTGTGTATACACTGGTCCTGGGGCATGAACATGAAATAAGGATACTGGCTGGGCTGGGAAGGTGGCTCAGTGGTAGAGCGCTTGCCTTGCATACATGAGGCCCTGGGTTCAATTCCTCAGCACCACATAAGCAAAAAGAAAAAAAGCCGGAAGTGGCACTGTGACTCAAGTGGTAGAGCGCTAGCCTTGAGCTGAAGAGCTGAGGGACAGTGCCCAGGCCCAGAGTTCAGGCCCCACGACCGCACCCAAAAAAAAAAAAAAAAAAGGATACTGGCACCATCTTGGCCACATGGTGGATGAAGGACTTGCCTCTCCCATCTTGGTCCAATCATTTTATGTATCCAAAGATGGAATATGAAGGATTGACACCCCCCCCCCGCCCCGGCATTATCCCAGGGGCCTACAGGCACCAGGCAAAACCCCAGGGATGCATGGATCTGCTTGATGTACAGGTAGGGCCATGCACCTAAGTCTGGCTATAAACATTCCACATGGGCTCAAGCATAAAGCCCTCTGAAAGGATCCAACAACTAAGATTATGACAGGGCCTCTTCCTGAGGGGAAGGGTAGGAGTTACACCAGTCATTAACAAGACAGACAGGGGCTTAGGCTACCCCTGGGCTCCCTGGGGAAATCAAGCTTGTCCCCAAAGATGACTTCCAGCCACTGGCTTACTCAGAGAATCTGCTCCTCAAAGGACCAGCCAATCTTTGGGCTCCAAGTCTGTTCATCATGGCTTGATCTTGCCATCAGTGGCAAGCTGGGCTTCTAGAAAGATCTAGAGTAGAGCAGAAATGCTGCCTCACACCCTCCCCACCCATTTAGGGTTGGCTGACTACAACTGTGCCCCGTGTAGAAATTTACAAGTATCTGTACTTCCCCAAAATAGACAATTTCCCTCCATGTTATATAGACAGATATGGAGGTAGGGAAGACAGATGCCAGGATTGTAGGGCTCCTTGGGCTGTGGGATCCTGAGCTGTGGCCCCCACAAGAAGTAAAGTTCTTTTCTGTTTGTTTGTTTTTGTCATGGAGTTTGAAATCCAGGCCTCAGAGCTGTCCCTCAGCTCTTCAGCTCAAAGCTAGTCCTCTACCACTTTGAGCCACAGCGCTACTTCCAGTTTTCTGGTGGGTAATTGGAGATAAAGTCTCATGGGCTTTCCTGCTGGGGCTGGCTTTGAACTAAGATCCTCAGATTTCAGCTTCTTGAGGAGCTAGGATTCTAGGCATGAGCCACTGGCACCTGGCTGAAGTTCTTTTCTCACTGGCAGGACTTCACAGAGAAGGTGACACCTGAGCTAGGCCCTAAACAATGCATGGGACTTAGCTTTGTTGTTGTTGTTGTTGTTAGGGGGAGGAGAAGGGCTTGGGTAGGGTAAAGGCTTGGAGGTATGGCAGGTGTGCGCTGTATAATGCTAGGTGGCCAGGTAGGACTGGGATGGGACATCAGGCCTACTGGCCAAGGAGAGGAGGGTGGTAGAAAAACAGGGCAGGAGAATGGAAGGAAGGGAGGCTTGTTAGGCCCAGAGGAAACCAAATCAGTCTCTTGCCCCCCTCCCTCTGGGCCCTCCTTGACCTGCTCCAAGGGCTACTTCTAGGCTAGCCCTGTGCAGACAGTGGTGTGTGTGTGTTTGTGTGTGTGTGTGTGTGTGTGTGTGTGTGTGTGTGTGTGTGTGTGTGTGTGTGTTCATTTGGGGGCTTGACCTCAGGGTCTGGGTGCTGTCCTTAAGCTTTTTTTTTTTTGCTCAAAACTAGTGCTCTACCACTTCAGCCAC